AGTCGGAGGTGAGAGTCGTAAGCCCCTATAGTAAAAAGAAGTTATTTCGTAAACTTCTTTTGTTTATAACTTCTTAATGAGTAACGTCCTGCAATTAATACTTCCTCAAGGTCACTCGGGGTCATGACCTTGGCAACATATGTCAAGGTCAAGGTCATTGGGAGGGGGCTCCCCTAATCTACATATTTACCTGATCTTTTAATAATGATCTTTTGTTTTAACTAATTTCCGTTATTATTTTACTTGTTAAAGTGCGATGCGTTTCGCGCTTACAGCGCTTGTAAGCATAATTTGTGTTTCTTTATTATTTGATAGACAACAAGGATGAACAGATGCTTACAGCATGTGAACATGAAAATGGAACGTATTGTAAGAAGCTCAGAATCTATATGAAAATAAGTAAGATACTTTATGATTACATAGTTCCCAAATGTATGCTGAACTGGTATTTTTAGTTTCACTTAGTGGCTATGAAAGAATTCCAAAAAGAGATTCCTACTCATTTAACGCTTCTCTTCGTGTATAATCTCAAAGACTACCACACGAAAGAAATAACAGGCTACTTATCTGTTATTAAAAAAAGACTGCTATAATCAGTAAATAAAAAATCAATTTTTCAAATAGTTGTCTTCATTTTTGAAAGAAGTTAGATAATTCTTTACATTGTTTCCATACTTCAAAATTGTCACAACTCAACAAATTAAATTCTTCCAAAAAGAAAAAGGAAAAACTATTTTCCAATTACTTAACAGAAAATTATTGATCTATTAGATAATATCGGCAAAAGAAATATTCTTTTAGAAATATAGTCGAGTGTCATTTTTGCTATTTCTGTTTCACAACTCTCAGCTAAAATTACTAAATTCAAAATAAAATTTTCTTCTTCAAACTTTGATAAAAATTTTGACCAAAATTGTCTTAACTCTAAATATTCTCTATCTAAGACTCTTTTATTTATTAAAAAACGGTACACATCTCGAAATATATCACTTTGTAGAAGATATGATTTTTTTTAATCTCAAGAAAGACACAAGTGCTATTTATCAGAGATACATAACTTAACTTCGCGAACTGTGAAGTTAAGTCGCTTTAATTTTAATTGATAGAGTAATCTTTATCTAACTTATTTATAATAATAATTAAAAATCACATTTTTTTAGTTGTGTTACTTTTGGAGCAAGGAAGTGTTATGATTCTTCTAATTATTCTACATAAAAGTTTTCAAGTACAGCTTCCATCGAATAATCATTATGATCGAAATCAGCTTCCTCTTGAATACGCCTTCTTAGAGAGTTCGAGACGTTCGGTCCTTGATCGTGAACGTGACTGGTTTGAAGTAGGTCAGGACCTATATCTTTTGGTGCATGCTGCCGTCCACCACTGAATGGAATCTCATTTATTTTACAGGTACAGGTGCGCCATTCGAGCGCCTCGTTACCGTGTGTTTTATCCGCGTAGGATACACGGTAAATTACCGGGCATGCGGTTTTTCACTTCCTCGTTCGTACGCTAGTATTAACGCACATAGTAAACATTCATTAATTAACTTAACTATAGTTAACCAAGTTTGGCAGACGCATACGATTAATCTGTAATGCCTAACGCTAGCATTAAAGATGCTAATGCAAGTTGTTTACGCAATTTGTTATAGTTGATCCGTCGACTAGTGAAACTACAAATTATCAAATGGTTCTCACCGGCTGATGTAGACGATTCTTTTCTCTCCATAACATGACGCATGCTGGAAGATCGAGCACACAGGCATTGACCGTGATCGTGACTTTCGGTAAGTGGGTTAAGGCCCGTGGCTCTGTATAAATGTATTTTATAGAATCGAAAAGAAATGTAGAAAGTAACACGACGTTACGTTTAATATCGTTGAAACTCGATGCTTTGATCGCGCCGCAGCATATATGGATATAACAATGACGTGGTATATAGAGCTGTGCATTGTATTAACTTTACCTGTATGGTAAATGGTAATTTACGTAATAACGAGACATTGCTGGCTCGAAACACTAATAAATTCAGAGCTGCTATTGTCCTATAAATTATTTTGTCTCAGTTAGCATGCATCAGCGCTGATGGATTACGTTTGGCGAAGTATATAGTATATATTATACTGGAATTTATTGTTTAATTTGCCTCTTTTAAAACCGTACGTGCTCACGATATTGTGAATTTTTCGATAAATAAAATATATGTCTAATCGATTGTGTATAAGCTGTAACACATTTATATAATATGTGACATATTTTATTTTTTAATTATAAATAATAGGCTATGTGATAAAACACAAAGTCATAAAGCAGGCCGTATACGATCAATATTATTACATAATATTTGATATTAAATAATATTTTATCGATTATTTGGAAGCTACATTAAATCTCTAGATTGTTTGTTTTGAATTATTCAAAAGAGACGGCATAATATTATGCAAAATGATTATATAATAATATTGAGTATCTGTAGAGGTTACATATAAAATGCTTACGTATAAAACATTCCTACAAATTATAGTAAATGTTTTATGTTTAACGAAAAATAAATTTAAAAAAAGTTTTATTGAAAAATAACATTTATTTTTATAATAATTTTAATATTTTGTTAGTCCTCTTTTGGCTTTTCTAAGAAAACGCAATAAATTGAGGATGCTTCTTATTTACAGTCAAAGCTGTAATTTGAATAAGACACTCCCAGTCTTTTGAAGTGTTACTCCAAGCGTCCAAGTTAATTTGTGGTTTATACGCAGACTCGAGTCACAAATTTCTCAGTAGAAGATCGTCGTAAAAAAAAGCTTCGAAAGCGCTAGTCTCTTAACGACTATCAGTGAAATATCCGGAAAGACTACATACGCTGTCGACATAAATCCCAATTAAACTGCCTCATACGCGCCGGTCAGAGACACCTGTAACCTACCCGACCAGATCTAAGATACGATATAAACTATAAGTGCCACGGGAGGTGGTATTCTCCTGGTAGAGTTACTACATGCCGCGCGCACGACACCTCGCAACGCCATAAATTCCCGGCGATCGTTACAGCGCCTAATCCCAGGGAAGGATCCGAAACATTTGGGTCGCGACGCCATGACCAGAGAGGGGAAACAATCGATGGTCATGACCCAGGACACGGCTGGAAAACTGGGTCAGGATTGCTCCGTGCCCTTTCACATGATGTGAGCGTTGATTTTTCTTCGCGTAAATGCTCGCGGTGGATTGTCATAAGAGGGTAAAAAGTTTCAGAGTGCATCTTCCCGCATTGTTTTTGCTTTTACCTCACCGTCTGATAATCGTCTTTTATCGACATTAGAAACTTGTCTCTAAAACTAAGCACTCTATTTTTCTCTCTGAAGCACTTAAGGTTGTATTACAAGTATTTTTGAACAAAATGAAAAAATTACAGATTTTTTTATATTGTATTTGAAAGTAACACAAAAATTTAATGGTGAACCTAGGTAAAAAATTATTTTAACAATAAGTACACATGTTTTTAATAAAAATAATTAATATGAATTGAGAAAATTTTTACTTAAAATTGTGAATTGTTGAATATAAATATGGACCTTTCTGAACTGAACAATTTCATACATATATATAACATTCATTTTTGTATAAAGGTTATGCGTTTCGCGGGTTTCCTCCGTGTCCAGATCCATTCTTGAGATGCCAACGTTTCGTGAACCTTGCAGTCCACTTCATCAGGGCGAGGAGCAGCCTGATACTGAGCTGTTCCTCCAGATCGTTCCTTTTTATATTATGCTGCTTCTTAGGGTGGTGGAAAAACATTCATTTTTATACGGAAAGTATACATTTCCAATTTCAGTCACTTTTTGCAAAGACTATACACCTGATAGATCCTTCTAGCTTATTACCTCTTTAAATCCGTTTTCAAGGGGCATCGGAAAAGATGCATAATTACTTAGGAACGTCGTCAAGGTGGACGTTGTCGAGCGTCATCGCGGACGCATACTAGGGTCGTTAAATCCCTGCGACGTCATCGAGTCTCCCACCAAGGTCAGACCGTGACCCTGCGCCACGGCTACGCCAGGTTGCGCTGATCCTGAAGAAAATCCGTTGATCGATCACACGGCACAGCGGCGCAGCGACGTCCTAGCGCCGACGCACTTCGCGCTCCCAGGCGTTCGCTATCTTGCTGGTTCCATCAGCAGCACCACGACCAGAACCAACCGTTCGTTTCTCGTAACCTTTGCTATTTTTATACGGAGGATTGGTCAACTGTGATCACGCTAGTCACCATACACACAGCTCAAACCACCGTTAGGCCGATCGAAAATTTACTCTTTTTTTTATTGAACTAAAAAGCGAACTAACGAGGTTTTAATCTATCCTCGTGAAATATATAATTTTTTTCATAGCATATTTTCGCCCATCTACACGTTCAATATTCTTTATCCTTGGACATTTATAGTATCTATAGAATTAACAATATTTTACAGTTTCTTTTTCTTACTCACAATCGCATATCTTTTTGGTATTAATATGCTAATTTAATCTTCAGTATACAATGATTTCCCCGATTCTTTACTACACACGTCGTTCGTGTCCTGGGTTAATTTTTATCACTTTAACAAGTATACAAAAATTATTAAGGGATTCTTACACATACTTTAACATCTGTTGAAAGTATAAGGTTGGGTATTTAAAAAAATTGTATATAAATGTTATAACTAATTACTCTTAATGCGCCTAGTTTTTCGAGAAAAAGAAATCTGCAAGACACGAACATGACTAATTTTATATTAAAAATAAGAGTTAATTTGACTTTCAATAATCGTTAAATGTGAAAATATGTTACCAATAATTTTTTTAGCTTTGTGAACAGTTTGCTTTTTATATGACTTAAAAAGTGTATATTATTTATAGTAAGTGCAGGTAAAAATCAGTAAAGATACTATGTGAAATGGTTACGCGCGTTTCTTGGTGAAATTTTTTTCTCTAAAGATGCAGGTGTCTTGATCTCATATTAGAATTGAACCGCGCCGTCTTTTTTAGTTTGACGAGAAATTGAGAGCGGTATGACGAGCAATGATAAGGTATATAACCTTGTGATTACCAGAGGGAAACACTTATCGAGGAAGCATATATACTTTTTGAGTAAAAAACATGATTGCGCGATTAGTTGAGTTCCTTTTAATTTGCGATTTGTTGCAAGTCCTTGAAAAAATTCATGGCAACGTACGTCCCTGTTATACTTCAATGTTCCATTCCCAGCTATTTTATTCCACGCGGCTAATTTTCATTTTTGTAACAATTAATTTACATTTTTTCTCCCTGTTTCTGTTTGCATTGCGATTTACGAGGTTATAGTTAACATGGACCCTGTCAACGATAAATTACAGATTTTTGCATATGTCTTTTTACACTTTAAAATACCTAAAACATGGTACTATACATTATGTCCATAAAATCAGTGTTACATGGAAAAAGTCTTGTTGCATTAATCGGAATTTTGATAGATTCAACCAATAAGAAACTTATAATTAAATCTATCAAATATTCTAGTTAAGATAACCAGAAATTCATTTACGATATGATTGATATGATCAGAATTCATTTTGTTTGTATTTCTTATTGGTACAGCCAGAACATTTTTTTTCAATCTATACAATATTTATGTATAATATATATGTTAAAAGTTTCAACACTTTTATATAAACAATTAAAATAGACAAACTAACGATTAGCATTATAATGATAAACAATAAAAAAAGATCAATATTTTCTCTATTAATTTTATTAATTATGTTATTGCAAAATAAGGAAAATTAGAAATTAGGAAGTCTTCACTATTCCTTCTTGATAGTTGAGTTAGCAATGTAAACACACATTTCTAATGCCACGTTTGAATACCGTCGGCACTTCCCGATCATCGAGATGTTCTCGCGTCGCTATCAATCGGTGAATCGGTAGGCTCGAATACAACTTTCACGTATGTCTCACGATAAATCCGCTGCTGCGAGACGCAACCGAGAGAAGCGAGATCCCCGCGAATGTGAGTCCGCACGTCTCAGACTTAGGTACCCGCTGTCCCGATTAGAGGAATGAAAACCTCTCGACTTACGACAACGCGGCGTTATTATTCTTCGTCGATTTGCATCGCAACACGACCGTCGGGTGAAGGTCGGCATGACGATTTGCTGACGGGTACACGCGGCATAGACGTATGCCGGCGGTTTCGTGACTGCATAAGGAAAAGGCGGAGGTAGCTGGCTTTCTCCAAAGCCACTTAACCCGATCCAGTAACATCCATCCACCGGGCCCGTCACGCCTGTGACATTTTCAGTAGTTTAGCATTGGCCATAATAATTGGAGAAAATCGCGCATTCGCTCTCGTGTGTGCCAGATAATTACTTTCCGATCGTCGAGTGTCGAGTGAGATTTTGTATTATGTGGAATTACACTTAGTTTTGCCGACGAGTTTTATTTGACCTCATCCATATGATGCAGTATTAATATTAATATATGCAGTAGTGTGCTAATATTAATATATGAAAGTTCCTGTAATTTATTTATATTACAATATTTGTGAACAAATTTTACCAGTAAATTTACTCTGGAATATCGGAAAGTATAATTCGTACACAATTGGATAATTTGTATTAAATACACGTTTCACGTGTCCTGGATGGTCCAGTCAAAGTTTTGTGTTCATTTAATATAAAATGAATATGTTAGGAAATCATGTACGCAATATTATTTAAAAAATTAACACAAAAAATATGACACTAACACAATTTGTTAGCAAATTTCGGAAGCATATTTTTTCAGCAAAACTAATACTTATAACATGTTAAATTAATACATGTTATTCATTTATTTTAGAATTTACATTCTAAAATACATTATTTTTATTTTATTTGTTCACTTACCCATAAATTGTGTTATCTTAACATTAAGAAAAGAAATGTTGAATATTAATTTAACCCTCAAACGGCACATTGGTGCGAATTCGCATCAGCAAAATTTTTAAAACATTGGCATTCATCAAAAAGATCTTTTTTTAATAACAATTTTTTTATAATTTAAGAATAATTTAACTAAATTTGAGTTGCACTAATCGCTTCGTTGAGAAATTTTACCCCCAAGAAAGTATAATTTTGTAAGTATTTTGAAGAATATTATCATGGTTAAATAAGTGAATAAAATCACAAAATCCTAATTCGGACCAGTGTGCCATTTATGGGTGCTGGGATGAAGTGTGCCGTTTGAGAGTTAACAAAATATTCAAATATTCAAATATTCAAATATTCAAAGACCGATTTTAACACAAATACAAAATATTTTTTACTGTATAATATGTTGTATTAATTAATGTTAATATTCTTTTTGCATATTGCAACTGTAATTATCTTTTATCACAAGTTTGAAAGATTATTATATTAACGTATTCTAAATGTAAAAAGTACCTTGAACAAAATTAAAATTAACGAAGCAGTAGGTGAAAATAATATAAGTTCCAAGAGCTTTTCAAGAATTATAATTTTGTAACACTCGAAAGATAATCCTTATCTTTTAAGGAAAGTTCGTTAATGTCAGGTTTAATTATTACAGACATTGACCTAATTTTAGATATTTATTCTTCAACTTTTCAATGTCAAGTTCTTATTTAGACTCGTGGCAATTCCTATATCCATCAGATTGTTGATTCAAGGCACCTAGCTGATGTGGATATTTTAGTTAATTCAATATAGTTATAATAATTTATTTTTCGTGTAGAACTGATAATAGTATGAACCGGAAATGACAAGTTGATAAAATGAAGGCAGCTCCGATTTAAAAGAGAGCGTGGAGAGAAAAGTAATAAGTGTAGATCGATAGACGCGGAACCACTCATCATCGTGAGTAAAAAAAAATTGAATATCAAAGAAAACTTATAGCAATGCTGCAATGTTTAG